TGAAAAAAAAATAAATTTATTTTTACATTCAACTGTATAATTATTTTTTTATTATATCTTTGTTATGCCTAAAGTAACTATGTAATATTACATTATTGCATTAAACATTGTAAAAGAAAATGCGTTTTTAAATATATTATTCTCGTTTACTTAATATTATTGTCTTATATTATTATATTTTTATATTGTATAGCTTAGTTATTTGAACTTAAAATTCTCTTTTCTTAAAAACTAATTTAGTCTTAAACTTAATAAAATTGACGAAATTAAAAGAAATAAATATTGTAGGCCAACTAAACGAGCAAAATTACATAAGATCTAAAGATTTATTAATAATTAAATTCTCATTCCATTAGAGAAACAATATGCAACGTAAACGTTTTGACTGTACTACAGTCTTCTTCAATACATAAAACTCAAATATTAAAATACAAAGTTAACGATTTTTCGCTGATGAACAATGAATGAGTAAGACGATTGGTCTGAGATTCCAAGTTTTGCGACATTTAATCTTGATTATCGTTTTAACAAGTTCTTCTCGAAATTTCAAGTGTGTGTTGCGAAGTTTAAGTAACAAAAAATTGATATATTGAACAAGGCAAAATAAAATGAAATAAAAATAAAATCCAATATTTTTCTTAACCAAAATAATCAATGTAATCAAAAAATTGTATTGCATTAAGTTTTAAACATTAAGCAGAGTCAGAATCAGAGGAATATTTCCTTTTTTTAGATTTCTTGTGTGCTTCTAAATTAATAAGACTTTTCATAATCTTTATGCATTCTTTACCTTGTTCTAATGTTTTTTTTTTTTTTTAATCCATTTTGCTCTTTTAGCAAAATGATCTCTGAAACTTTTCGAAGCGTTGATTTTCAATTTGTGTATCTTGTTCGTGTAACTCTTTCAAAACAATGCTTAAATTATCTTTCTTTGGTCTTACTGTTTTTTTAACATTTTCAAAAATATTTAAAATTTTTAAATTATCTTTTTCTTTCTTTGACGTATTCTTCGTTGACACGTTATTTTCTAGTGCAATATATTCTGTATTGGGAAAGTTTTCATTGTTATTTGTAACTTCGCTTATTTTACTACTACAAGTATCAGAAGTTGTACTAAAATTATCTAGGGAATTCAGTAAATTAACTGGTTGACTGTTGTGTTTCTCTCTGATAAGGTCATGCATCTCATCAAAATATTTTGGAGGCTTTTTCTTCCCTGTTCCAGTAGATTTCATGTATTGGCAATGTCTACGATACATTTTTTCTAAGTTACGCCAACGTTGATGACATTTGTCAGAAGCTTTTGTTCCAATATAATGAATTAAATAACCATTATTTGCATTTCTCTTGCAATATCAAATCATATTTTTTTTATGCATTTAATTATTAAGATGGTGAAATTTAGTTCCAACAATCTCTAATAACTTTAATGTCATTTCATTAGTAAATTCTACAAGTATTAAAACATTATTATTATTATATTATTATTTAATTGTATTATTGTATATACATGTATGTATTATAAAGGTGCTTACTATCTTTATTTGTCATTTCTAACCCTTTTTCTTTAATTCTTCGTTGTCATTCTTTATTTGTAATATTGTTTTCTGTTGTATCTGTAACACAAAATATATTTAAATGATATATAATAATTTATATAAAACATATTTTAATTATTATTGCAATTTGTTTTAAATCCAAGAATTATAAAATTAAAAAACCGGGAGAACACTCACCCCGATCAAAAACAGAGAGAGAATGCTACAGTGACAACATCACTCTAACGACTGTGCGGTATTCTACATCGACAGTCGATACATATATACGCAAAAAAAAAAACACAAAAATAAAAATGTGAAAATAAAAATAAAAACAACTTAATCGGCACTCATGTCAAAGTCTAACGAAAAAATCCGGTTATGTCTAATCACAAAGCTAGATTTTGGTAAATTTTTCAATTAACAGATCAAAATTCTCGTTTAATTTGTATTTTCAGCTACTGAAGAAGACCCAAGTGGGTCGAAACGTTTAGATTTTAATAAATGAGTTTACTTGAGATCTCATTTTAATTTATTAATTTTGTGCATGTCATCCGCACAGGCTCCGATTGCCGTCGAGATTTTATTTTTCTTCCCTGTTCCAGTAGATTTCATGTATTGGCATGTCTACGATACATTTTTCTAAGTTACGCCGACGTTGATGACATTTGTCAGAAGCTTTTGTTCCAATATAATGAATTAAATAACCATTATTTTGCATTTCTCTTGCAATATCAAATCAATTTTTTATGCATTTAATTATTAAGATGGTGAAATTAGTTCCAACAATCTCTAATAATTTAATGTCATTTCATTAGTAAATTCTACAAGTATTAAAACATTATTATATTATTATTATTATTTAATTGTATTATTGTATATACATGTATGTATTATAAAGGTGCTTACTATCTTTATTTGTCATTTCTAACCCTTTTCTTTAATTTCTTCGTTTGTGCATTCTTTATTTGTAATATTGTTTTCTGTTGTATCTGTAACACAAAATATATTTAAATGATATAATAATTTATATAAAATTATTTTTAATTATTATTGCAATTTGTTTTAAAATATAATAATAAAATGATTATGTATGAGATCATTAAAAACATATAGACTTATATTAAACAATAAAAAATCAAAAAAATATAAGTTGTTTAGATATTTCATGATGTTTTTTAAACATTTGTATTGTCTGTATACGTTTTGAAATTTAAAAGATGTTTAAAGTCTTATGTACTGTTGTTTTCAGACATAGGTGCTTTACATAACGATTGAGCTTCCAAGATTAAAGCATTTGCTGTAATATTTAATTAGATATAAGTCTTAATTTCATATTTAAGTAAATAAATAAAAAATACATCTATCTGTATATAATTTTTACATACTTTAGGACAAAAATATATTAATTTTCCATGTTCATCCAAATCGGTTGCCCACTCGTGTCAGATATAAAATTTATTTAGATTGGTATCACAAAAAGACATTCTCAGGTAGATTAGTAAAGGAAACATTAGTAAATAATGAAACAACGTCCAATGAAACTATTATGTCGGAATCTTGTATTGTTTTCCCTGATAGAGAAAGTTATTAACATTTTGCTATCCAACGGTTATCCTCTTGATCTAATTTTCACAGAAATAAAACGCAGATTAAAAAATCTCTCAACTAAGAAATTTAACAAGCCTAATAATAACAATATAACAGATACTAATAATACTAATACTAACATTAAATATTTTGTCATACCATATATAGAATCAATATCTGAGAAAGTTGCTTCAGCAATAAGAAGACCTGACGTAGTGGTAGGATATCGTTGCATTAAAAAATTGAATGACTTCATAAAAGTTCAAAAGACAGAAATAATTGCCCCACGAATTCTAACGTTATTTATAAATTGAATTGCAACGATTGTGACGCCACATATGTCGGACAGACAAAAAGACAGTTAGGAACGAGACTTAAAGAACATAAAAATAATATTAAATTAGACTCTGCTAGACATTCGGTTGTCACGGAACACATTCTAAACGAACAACATACATTTGACTGGGCAATATTAAAATTATGGATCATGAAAGAATTACCATAAAAGACTAATATCTGAAATGATCCACATTAAAGAACAGAAAAATGGAATTAATTTAAATAAAGACACCGAATTGTTAGACAGTAGTTATTTTGACATACTTAAAAAATTTGCTGAATCATAATTTAGAAAAAACATTGGTGTATAAAATTGTAAGGATTATTCGCGAAGCCGTCTTTCGATGTTTTCGGCCAAGTCATCACTTTCGACTTACTATCGCGACCGCGCATTCCAGAGGGACAAACAAGTGTTTTTCTGTTCGTATCTCGTTCCTCAATACGTCGATCACAAGCGAATCACAATGGGGCACGCACGTGTCACGCGCCGGTCATATGAATTTTCGGCCGTTGTCGTTACCGCTGTACGAATTCGGAGCAGTCTGCCCCGAGAGTCCGCCTTGAAAGCTCGCAAGGAGATCAGAGTGCCGAAAATCGCGTATAGAAACGAACGCGTTATTAGACTATTGTTACTGTTCATTTTTTTGCTGTATAATAAATCATTGCTAAATTCATCTTACGGACTCGTTCACTCTCTCCTCGCAGAATCCTACTGCAGGTTTACGTTCTCGGCGCAAAAACAAATATTTTCCTTCTGTGCATAAAATTAATTTCGAAGGTTCAAGCACAGAATGAATGGTCCTTCGAGCCGGATATAAGTGACTGTGCAGTAACTTTCCACCGCGAGTGAAACGAAGACGACACCTCGTTTGGGGTACAGTAAGACTCGAGAAGAGACATTTTTCTCGCGCATCGACAAGCTCGTCCGCGAGTTCGTGCCGTCGGCGACATTCTGACTCGCCCGGCATAAATTTGTGAAGTTCTCTAAGGAGACATTTTTCTCGCGCATCGACAAGCTCGTCCGCGAGTTCGTGCCGTCGGCGACATTCTGACTCGCCCGGCATAAATTTGTGAAGTTCTCTAAGGAGACATTTTTCTCGCACATCGACAAAGTCGTCCGCGAGTTCGTGCCGTCGGCGACATTCTGACTCGCCCGGCATAAATTTGTGAAGTTCTCTAAGGAGACATTTTTCTCGCACATCGACAAAGTCGTCCGCGAGTTCGTGCCGTCGGCGACATTCTGACTCGCCCGGCATAAATTTGTGAAGTTCTCTAAGGAGACATTTTTCTCGCACATCGACAAAGTCGTCCGCGAGTTCGTGCCGTCGGCGACATTCTGACTCGCCCGGCATAAATTTGTGAGGTTCCTCGAGGAGACATTTTCTCGCGTATCGATACGGTCGTCCGCGAGTTCGTGCCGTCGGAGACGTGCTGACTTGCCCGACATATATTGAGTGATCTCGGACTAAACCTGTCACTATCGACTCACTCCTCGCGCTCTCCTGCTTCATTAGTGCTGCTAATTCGCTGATCATGGCCGAGTTACGGAATTTGCTGATCGCACAAACCGATAAAATCGACCAGCTCAAGAGAGTTCTAATAAACTTTAAAAAATTGGCTAAGGCTAACGTAACTTTGCCGAAGACACAAGGTCGATTAGAGAAAGTGCATACGCTATGGGCATCCTGTCAGGAGCTGCATCTCAAGTTGTTGCAGACCACTACGAAGGAGGATCAGAAGACGATGTCGTACTTCTTGGATGAGGAATTCCTGGAAGCTGAGGAGATCTACGACGAGACCGTCGACTACCTCCGAGAAACGATAAGTCGATTTACTGACCGTCAACCGGTTACTCTCGATCGTAGTACTGACTCCTCGGTTCGCGATAATACTCATGCCAACTTTCATTTGCCACGGATTACATTACCTAAATTTTCCGGTAGATTTCTCGAGTGGGAGAGTTTTAAGAGTACATTCGAGTCGCTAGTCGCAAAAAATGACGCTCTCTCTAATACTCAGAAGTTCCATTATTTGAAAACAAGCATCATCGGCGACGCCGCATTAAAAATTAATAATTTACGAATTTCTGACGCGAATTACGAGTCCGCGTGGCAACTGTTAGTTGATGAGTATGACGATCGGTTAACGTTGATTCAATCGCATTTGCATGCGTTTATGAATCTGCCGATTATGAGAAATGAAAATGTCATAGAATTAAGCAAGTTGCGCGACACAGTGGCCGCGTCGATTGCCGCGTTACATAATCTAGATAGACCGGTGGATCAATGGGATGATATTCTCGTGTACGTTGTCTCCCAGAAATTTAGCGTTAAAACAAAGAGCGAGTGGAACTTGAAAGTCTCGTCGAGTCACGCGATCCCTTCTTACAAGGACATCCACGAGTTCCTTGCTCTTCGTATTCGGGGTTTATCCGATTTTACTGACGTTGCAAAAATTGCCGCAATTTCTAAGAACGACAAGCCGCGATCGTCTGTAAACAACGTTTCCGCTATAAAATGCATTCATTGTTCCGGTAATCATTTTATTTCAAAATGTGAAACATTTCTCAGTAAATCGGCCACGCAACGAAACTCTATTGCGCGTCAAAATAGAATTTGCTTTCTCTGTCTGAAGCCGGGTCACATGTCGCCAAAATGTACAAGCAAGCAGCGATGCTCCCACTGTCGTCGCCCTCATCATTCGTTGTTACATTCCGCGAATCATCAAGCATCGGCCGACGACGACAAGCCGGAATCGAATAAGACGGGCGCAGCGACGATCGCGAAAACGGATACATCTTGCGTTCTCGAGAAAGCTGCCGTCGCGAGCGTTCAAACTGTGAAACCGCCAAGCGTTACGACTCCGACAGTTCTTCTCGCAACCGCGTGGGTCGACGTTCATACTGCCGAAGGTAGATGCTTCAAGGTTCGCGCGCTGCTGGATCAAGGATCCAATTTCAGCTTCATTTCAGAAGCGTTGTGTCAGACCATGCGTGCGAAGCGACAACGAGCCGACCTACAGATAAAAGGATTCGGAGAGAAGTTTACTGGTTCAGCTAAATCGCGAGTATCATTGCGGCTGACACACTGCGATAAGTCAGATCCCACGTTTCCTTTTACCGCGTACGTATTTCAGCGGATTACGTCTTACGCCGCGTCGCGGATTCAGCCTGTCGAGTCGTGGCCTCATTTAAAAGGCCTTTCTTTAGCCGATCCGGACCCGTCAAGTAACCATCAGATCCACATGTTGATTGGCGCGGATATTTACGGCTCGCTTTTGATGCGCGATTTACGACAGGGGCCGCTCGGCACGCCCACTGCCCAGTTAACCGCACTCGGTTGGATTATTTCCGGGCCCACCGGAAAAGAGCAACGGGCTTCGACAGAAGCTGCCGTCTTGAACTGTGTTCTCAGTCAAGACGTGGACTCTCTTCTCCAGCAATTCTGGATGGATGAAGAGATCTCGTCACCCACTCCTCTCACTGACGAAGAGGAGAATTGCGAACGACATTTCGTTCGAACTCATTATCGTCACTCCGACGGTCGATACGTAGTTCGACTGCCGTTTAAGTCAGCTCCGCCGATCGAAATCGGGGAATCTCTGTCCATCGCGCGGTCTCTCTACGGTCGTATGGAGAATAGATTGAGGAATCGTTCAGAACTCGGTTCGCAATACAACGAGTTTCTTGCTGAGTATGAGTCGCTCGGACATATGACCCGCGTAGACGAGTTGGAACAAACGGAATATTTACCGGTTTATATCCCGCATCATCCAGTGATTAGGGAAGCAAGTTGTACTACTAAGTTACGCGTAGTGTTCAACGCATCGTGTAAAACTCGAAACGGCACAACGCTGAATGATCACTTGTTAATTGGACCTAAGTTACAGCAGGATCTTCCTGCCGTTTTGTCTCGGTGGCGAAGATGGCGCCATGTCTATACTGCGGACATAGCAAAGATGTTCCGTCAAATTCGCGTTCATCCCAAAGATATAGATTATCAGCGAATTCTTTGGCGTCCGACGGAGGACGCGACGATTCAACATTATCGGCTCCTCACGGTGACATACGGTCTCGCTCCGGCTCCATACCTCGCCATGCGCGTGCTCAAACAACTTGCTCTCGACGAGGGCGTTAATTACCCTGCCGCGGTTCCAATCTTGAATGAGTCCATCTACGTGGATGACACTTTGTTTGGAGCGAATGATATTCAGACTTTAACAGATACGCGCGATCAAGTGATAAGTCTTATGAAAAGCGGAGGTTTTCAGTTAAGAAAATGGGCGTCCAATACGATCGAGCTTCTCAAAGATTTTTCGACCGATAAATCCGACGTCACCGATCACCTCATCCTAAATAACGAATCACTCAAAGTGCTCGGTCTTTCATGGATCCCTGCTGAGGACTCATTTAGGCTTGTCGTGAATTCAACCATCCCAATCGCTCCTACAAAACGTTCAATTCTCTCTTTCGTTGCGAAACTCTACGACCCTCTCGGTTGGGCCGCTCCTGTCGTGATCGTCGCTAAAATCGTGTTACAGGAGTTGTGGCTATTACATTGCGACTGGGATTCACCTCTACCCGACGAGGTGAAACAACGATGGAGTGATTTCGTTTCCGAATTTAATAAATTGAAAGAAATTCGTATTCCGCGATGGACAGGTCAGCACCCCGATAATCTCGCGATCGAGGTGCACGGATTCGCGGACGCGTCAAACCGAGCCTTTGCTGCCGTCGTCTATCTTCGCGTGTTGCATTCTTTAACGGATTATGAGATCAGCTTAATCGCTGCCAAGACAAAGGTCGCACCCGTTAAGACCGTGAGCATACCAAGACTTGAGTTAAACGCGATAGTACTTTTGAGTCGACTGGTGAAGTGGATTTTAAATTCACTCAATTTAAGTGACGCTCCGATTTATTGTTGGACGGACTCCACGATCACGCTGGCCTGGCTACGCCAGCATCCATCTAAATGGACCACGTACGTGGCCAATAGAGTAGCCGAGGTCCAAAACAATTTGCCGTCGGCTAGATGGGAACACGTGCCGTCGAAGGACAATCCCGCGGATTGTGCTTCTCGTGGCCTACTAGCATCCGAATTACCAACTCATCCACTGTGGTGGACTGGACCCCACTGGTTAAAGGGGCCTTCCACGTCATGGCCGACCCATGACGTAGCGATTCCGCTCTCTTCTGATACCATTCTGAAGATTTCAAGTGAAATTAAAAGGTCCCCTGTTCTTCATATGGAAGGCTCGGAAGAGTGGGATTTAATGTATAAATTTTCTAGCTGGCCTAAGCTCGTCCGTGTGACCGCATACATCTACCGTTTTCTCTCTTTGCTAGTCAAGAAAGGGAAGGATAAAATTCGCACCGCGTCGTCTCTAAGTGTCGACGAGCTCAATCAAGCTGAGTTGTTTTGGCTTTCTTACGCTCAAGCCAGATCATTCGGTTGCGATATCGCATCCTTGAAGAAGGATCGAACTGTCACGAAAAAGAGTCCTCTGAGAACTCTGAATCCATTTCTCGGGGAAGATTCTTTACTCCGTCTCGGCGGGCGGTTAAAAAATGCCGCTCTTACGTTCGAAGAGCAGCACCCCATTATCGTTCCACAAGGTCAAATCGCATCTCTTCTTGTGGCTCATGCTCATAAGAGCACACTTCATGGCGGAGTGCAGCTCGTGCTGCGCACCCTCCGCCAGAGATATTGGATACTGGGTAGCCGAAACGCAGTAAAAAATCATGTTCGTCGGTGCGTCGTGTGCACTCGTCATTCTGCGAAGCTATCGAGCCAGCTCATGGGAGACCTCCCTTCTCCTCGCGTTAATCCATCCTCCCCTTTCACGCATACGGGAGTGGATTACGCTGGGCCTTTCCTCATTACTCCTTTCGTTGGGAAAGGACAGAAAGCGAGAAAAAATTGGATCGCGTTGTTCATTTGTCTTGTCACCAAAGCCATCCACTTGGAGCTAGTTGACGACTACTCCAGTGCAGGATTCATTTCCGCCTTTCGGAGATTCGCCGGGCGTAGAGGCCTACCCAAGAAACTTTACAGCGACAACGGGACGAACTTCCACGGCGCTGACCGAGAGTTGCAGAACGCGTTCGAAGCTCTAATGAAAGATGCTTCTTTACAAGCCGACCTCGCGAATGACAGAATAGAATGGCATTTCATACCGTCCGCGGCTCCTCATTTCGGCGGATTATGGGAGGCGGGTGTGAAAAGTTTAAAATCGCATCTCAAAAGAGTAGCCGGTTCGCGTACCTTGTCGCAGGCTGAATTCGCGACGCTTCTATGCCAGATAGAAGCATGTCTCAACTCCCGTCCAATTGCCGCCCTCAGCGACGACCCGAACGATTTGTCTGCGCTAACGCCGGGCCATTTTTTAATAGGTCGACCTATGGTGTCCGTACCTGAGGAGTCAGTACTCGCGATAAACCCGAACCGACTCTCACGATGGCAGCTCCTTAATTCAATGAAGGAGCAAATTTGGCGTGCTTGGTCGCTGGATTACTTGCATACATTACAGCAGCGCAATAAGTGGACGGATAAGTCCCCCTGTTATCGCGTAGGAGAGCTCGCGCTTCTCAAGAACCCATTGCTCCCTCCGAGCAAGTGGGAACTCGCTCGAATTACTCAAATCCATCCGGGATCCGATGGACTTGTTAGAGTAGTCACGATGCAAACTGCACGTTCCGTCTTAAAGCGACCAATCACGTCACTATGCCGACTGCCTATTAATTGCAATACTGTATGAAGGCTGTTAATTGAGCTATAATTGTTTGCGCTCGACATTACAAGGCAGTCAATGTGTTTACATTCTTCTTATTGTTAAGATTTTTTGTATGACTCCGAATATGTTTGTCCTCAATGAATAGAATTACAAGAAACGAATGTATACCTACTAAAAGCATCTTTCTCCTTATTGTTAAGAATTCAATTGTTGAAATATTTATCTAAGACGTCAAGGTAAAAACGTTCTCGGGCTCGAAATATTTGTTATTATCGTGGTTAAGACTTCCAATTGCCCAGGACTTATTCTCATAAGAACGACCTATAAACATTTCGCATCCGTTCGCATGCGAGGCGGGCGGTCTGTATAAAATTGTAAGGATTATTCGCGAAGCCGTCTTTCGATGTTTTCGGCCAAGTCATCACTTTCGACTTACTATCGCGACCGCGCATTCCAGAGGGACAAACAAGTGTTTTTCTGTTCGTATCTCGTTCCTCAATACGTCGATCACAAGCGAATCACAATGGGGCACGCACGTGTCACGCGCCGGTCATATGAATTTTCGGCCGTTGTCGTTACCGCTGTACGAATTCGGAGCAGTCTGCCCCGAGAGTCCGCCTTGAAAGCTCGCAAGGAGATCAGAGTGCCGAAAATCGCGTATAGAAACGAACGCGTTATTAGACTATTGTTACTGTTCATTTTTTTGCTGTATAATAAATCATTGCTAAATTCATCTTACGGACTCGTTCACTCTCTCCTCGCAGAATCCTACTGCAGGTTTACGTTCTCGGCGCAAAAACAAATATTTTCCTTCTGTGCATAAAATTAATTTCGAAGGTTCAAGCACACGAACTATGTTTAGAAAGAATTTGTTTCAATCACAATCACAATACCATTTTCTATGTTTCTCTTATTATATCAATAATGTTATTCACCAAATAATTATAGTATCAATAATGTTTTGCGATTTATTTAACAATTCATAATATGTTAGGGTTATAAAGTTTTATCTATAGGGTTTTATTTTTGTTTGGGTCTATTACACATTCAAATTAACAGTATTCGCTTTTGTAGCATTTTAGTCTGCAATATCTCAGACCTTCGCCTGCCCTAGGCGTCTAATTAGAAAAATCTTATTTGATACTTGCATCACTAGAAGGCTGCCCCAAACGCCGTATATCTATAACTAAAACTGTCCCAAACAACTGAAAATGGATCATCAGTGTCACAAGTTCCATTATGGCAATAAGGAAAAGAATATTTGGCTTCCAAAGAATGGTTGACGGAAACGATGATAGACAGTTTCCATGTGCTACTCGAGAGCAATTCTGATTATGCACCTCGACTTGTATAGTTGACAATATTTCCCGATCAGATTGTTCCACTAAATAATTCAAAAAGAAGCATTTTCAAATACTGCACAGTGATTTTGGTGGTGGACATTGGGTTGCTTGCCATTACGATGCAAAATCTATTATTATATATGATTCTCATGAAGGTAGTCGTAATGCAAATATACAAATTTGAATGGAGAAATTCGAATTTTTGTGGACAGATTATTTCCCTTTCATGATTGTCAAAACAATCCAATAGTTTTTCCTAAAGTTCAGTCGCAAGGTGACGGTTATAATTGTGGTCCTATGGCAATTGCGATTGTTACATCTATTCTGTTTGGCGTAAATCCTTGCATCGTGACGTATAATCAATCGTTGCTAAGACCTCATTTGTCCGCAATGTTTGAAAAACAAACAATAACTCATTTTCCGTACCTCTATGATTCAATTGCTTCATTAACGCTACTGCCGTTGGAGACATTGAAAAGACGAGAGAGGGATGCACTGAGAAAAAGACTTGCACGTAGTGGAAACTGAGGAACAGCGTTCGAAACGAATCGAAAAAGATGCTTTTTCTCACAAAGAAAAATATTTTATGAATCCTGCAACAAAACATCAGATAATGCGTGATCAGTACCATAAGGATCCTGAAACAAACGTCAGATAATGCGTGATCAGTACCATAAGGATCCTGAAACAAAACGTCAGATAATGCGTGATCAGTACCATAAGGATCCTGAAACAAAACGTCAGATGGTGCGTGATCAGTACCATAAGGATCCTGAAACAAAACGTCAGATGGTGCGTGATCAGTACCATAAGGATCCTGAAACAAAACTTCAGATGGTGCGTGATCAGTACCAAAAGGATCCTGAAACAAAGCGTCAAAAAATGCGTGATATATATAAAAAAAGATCTTGAGGGAATACGTAAAAGAAAGCGGGGCAAATACCAAAAAGATGTAGAAAATAAAAGGTACGTCAAAAAAAAAAATTATTTAAAAAATGCTGCCCGTGAAAGAGACCGCCAACGAAAATTCAGACAAAAATATCCCGACTCGAAAAAATTGTACAACAAGAGGTGCAATGCAAAACGTAGCGAGAAGTCTATCGTACAAAGATGGAAAATGTTCAAGAGAATGAAGGAAAAATTTAATACCGTTCGATCTTGGCAAAAGTGTTTTAAGTTTCCAAAATATTCAGAGTTTTATATTCAACAGATGTCGAGAAAAATTATTAAATCAACAGTATCTGCTCGATTGGAAGCCGAACAGATATTAAGTGGTGTGTAATAGCAAAAAAATCGTACCTCAATGCAGCAAGAAAAGTGTTTTATATTTGAAAAACGTTGCTGAAGCTGCGTTATTGCGATTCAATGAATGTAAGACTTTGAAATATCTAAAAAGCGATCAACTTAGAGCTCTTTGTGGCTTATCCAAACAAATTCGTCTTCCGAAGCGTACTTTTATGAAACTGCTTACGAGCAAAGGAAAAAGTTTGAGCAACCACTTATAATGAGACAATCCTCTCCTCACGGAGTAATAAATGTTTTGCCGTTAATAGATAACAATGGTAAAAAGTTAAAAATGTGGCATTGTGATGAGAACAAATGCCACATACCAAAATGATACTTCCATGGAAAAGTTTGTAAAATTTTTGGAACTGTTTGAAGAAGGTACTTTGAAAAAGATAATGAATGTTAAATTCATGGCGCAGCTAAAAAATTGTTCCGTTTCACGTACGAGTAGCAGATTAGGACATCCTCCGGAATGCTATACAAATCCGAATCTTTGCAAGTCATACATTGCAACGATAAACACTTTATCACCTCATTTTCCTTTCGTGAGAAATATTCGAAGAAATGTTTACAAATTGATCGACAATTATAATAAGTTTTGTCAACTGTTATCATCTTTGAGATTCTTCAATATGGATAAATTAGTTAAATTTCCAATGATTTTAAGAATAAAGCAAGATTTTATCCAAAAAATGTAACTGATGTTTGTTTGGACAAGGAAAAGATTTTCTCGCAAAATTACGAAGCATTTAAAGTCATGAAAAAGCGATTGTTGGATTAACCACGTATCCCTTGCATCTCTTGCGAAAAATTATGCTTGAGAAGAGACGTTTCTAAGCTCGAGAAGCTGAGGAAAACAATAGACGGACCTTTTTGGAAAGATCTGATAGCAAACGTAACAGAACACAGTAATAATACTGAATTCGTTTGTAAGCTTTGTTTGGGTAAATTTCAAAAAGGCGTGTTGCCTTCTACTGCATTTTGAATAATCTTGCGGTAAAACCATTACCAGATGTTTTGTCAAATTTCAATGATTACGAAAAAAAATGTTAATCAAGAGAATTAGCAGCTTTCAAGTAGTGCAATTGATGGGCAATGTTTCGAACAAACATATACCGCATAGATGATCCGCAAAGTAAAAGGCAGAACATTTCATTTGCCTCTACCTTTACAAGAAACATTGGATAAGGTATGTCCTCCGGAAGATCCTATAAATTTGAATCACGAGTTGCACATTCTCGTTCGAGGTATACCCAAGAAATCTACAGTGGTTTGGGAAAATTTGGTAGATATTAATAAAGTGTATAAGGCTTTACAATGGTTGAAAGAAAATAATCCTCATTACTCGAAAATTCGTCTTCCGGCGTCATCTGATGATCTATTAAATGATAAGTTGCAGGAAACAGAATATCGGATTGTCGATGACGAAAGCGATAATGACGAAATAAATGAGGTGGTTGAGAAATTACCAGCATTGAATTTGTACAATGTACAGGAAAACAAAAATAATAATAGATCAAATCGTTTTAAAACGTAAGGCTTTCCTCACACAAATCACTGAAGATTCGGATATTAACGATCAGTATACAATATAGCCAATACACGCGAAAAGAATCGATAACGAATCTGCATTGAAGCTTTATCAAATGATGAAAATTGAAGATTTTCCAATGGATAATCGTTATAAATATCTGGATGTCATGTGTTTCCCTGATTTATATCCTGATGGTGTCAATGGACAACGAGAAGATAGAAACTTTGCATTGCCGGAATATTTATTTATTAGAACACGATTGATGTCGAAACATAGTAGATTCAGGTTGAATCTGCAGTATCTGTTTTCCTTCTCAATGATGCTAACTACCGACAGTTGAAAAGTGGTATCTATTATACGATGATGGTTACTAACCCACGAGAGAGATACACTGCTGGTAGATACTTGAACGAATTGAAAGGTTACGAATTAGAATCGAATTTAATGAGTATTTTCGCAAAATTGAGAAATACGGATCAATTTTGGCGACAACCGTCCAATAATGTAAAATGCATGACTTTGCATTACGGTCCAGCGACGTGGTTTTTGACTTTGAGTCCTAGTGAATGGAAATGGTCCGATTTGGGTGAATATTTACGAGACATGAATCCCGATAAAGAGAAGTTAGGCATCAGCGAACTAGTCGCATACGATCCTGTAAGTACTTCTAGATTCATGTGCATAAAATTCAAAGCCATGATTGATTTTATTTGTTCGTCCGATAATCCAATAGGAAAGGTTATTCATTACTTCTGGCGATTGGAATATCAAAGTAGAGGTATTCAGCACATGCATTGTATGATTTGGATAAAAAATGCTCCAGTAATAGGAAAATCGCCGGATGAAGAAGTTGCTACGTT